GAAGGATTTCGGCACCGAAATAATAAATCAACTGGCTTTCCCCGATGTACAAGCATAATGCGATCCAAAAATGACTGAAAGGCCTTGACAAAACAGGTGCTTCCCAATACTATGGTTACGGACGCTCGTGCACGAACATTACGCAAACGAAAATTAGGTACAAGTGCACTTTATTCACGTACATACATCGCTGTTGTGCACAGGACGCCCATGGGTGCGATCGTAGAATGTTGTGTTCGCAAAGAGCGGCAAAGCGGCCGTTTTCACGAGCCAATGACGTCAAAGATCGGATAGGACCCACCGTCAAGCAACCGACCCTCCGCGTCAATGCGAGTGCGACAGAATGCGACACAAATACATGCCACACCAAAATGTGCCACCGTGAAGATGGCGACGTCCCACACGCCGTCAAACCCTTGTCAAATCCATATCCTTCCTGTCACGTTGCTGCGCGCGCTAGCGAATAGATAATTCTCACGGCTTCAGGTTTTGACAATGCCATGCAGTGTCGAATGCACAGCAAAATAATGACGCAGCGAGGCGAATGGGACCTGCACAACATATGAAACAAAAATGTTGGCGCCTAGCAAGTCTTGCAGTATTATTGCAGTCTAATTGCGCTATCTATCATAATTATGTCGTTCACTTGTCGTCATGTTATCAAACTAATGACGTAAACTAACGGTCTTCGACGTCATCACGGGTAGGACCGGCGAGGTCAACAAAGAGGTCAAGTGTACACCCTCAGCCTAAGAATGGGACTCCTGAGATCAGATCCCAGCAGTGTTCTGGGTCGCTGATACTGAGCACTGCAACTAACTTTCAATTCAGGGAGCTAGAATCGCTTTTGAACTAGGATGGCGGAGAAAAATTCCACCGCAAAAAGACCGTGCAGGGGTGAAAAACTCAATTCACAAAAGATGGAACTTATGAGCTCGTGACTGATGCTTCAGCAAACAAAGACATCTATTTCAAGTTGGCATGGACGTTATATCAGGAACCTGACAAAAGTATTTTGCTTTTCAGCATCTTAGGCAATTAAAAAGAAGCAGAATACATTAACACGCGCTCGGGTGAGGGTCAAATTGACCCCCCCCCCCCCCCGAGGGTTTTCCCGAATAGTTTCTGAACGGCGCGGCGTAGCAGCGCCAAATTTTGCCTAGCTGTAGAAAATTGCATGCGGATCGTTTAAGATACAAATTTTAGATGTACCTCGTGAGGTCACTGACCTATGGCAGGTCAAAGCCATGCCATGGTTCCAGCGAGGGCAATTTCTAGGAAATCGTTCAATCTGATACAACAACGGAGTGTTTGACGAAGCCATACGCCTCTGAGATGCTTTCTTAGGCACCACAAATATTGAATGAGGAAATAACGTTGACCTAAGGTCAGGTATGAAGGTTAGACCAAGATCCAAACCAACCTGATTTATTCTTCTAGGGCTTGCTGTATGGGATAGTTTCTGGTGCTCATTCCGAATAATTATTGACGATCATTGACAGCAGGAACCGCATTATACATGTTCAGTTGACTTCCTAGAGGTCGGAGCAGGCCAATGACCTAAGATGACCCGGGTCGAACTTTTTGTTTTAGGAACATACTGCCTAGCGTAATCTTTGTCGCTTATTCAAATGCAAAACTCAGAGCAGTCTTGTATCATTTTGGTGGCCATGACCTTCAAAACGTCAAACAAGGTCAATGACCTCAAATGGGCTTGTGGCCTTCTGCTTACAGACAGTTGCCTAGGCTCTGTGGGCGCTTCGGAGAACAACCTGGAATCTGACCTTGTTTGACCTTATTTGACCTGAAGGTCATGACCTAGGAAGCTGAAACTTTGCCCTACGTGAGTTCACGTATGGGTTAGGACACCCTGTAAATTTGGTGTCTACCTTTCTTAGTTCCCGAGATTTCAGGGAGGACGGGTCAAATTGCCCCCCCCCCCCCCCCCCACCCGAGCGAAGGGTGTCTAGCCGGCCAACCGGGCGCGTGTTAAAACGTAGTAATTTCATGACAGTATTATGAGCATAAAAAATCATTAACACTTAACTTGTGATACGGCATGATAAAGCTAATTTTTGGCTGGTTTCAGCTTGTATTTTTATGCAGTTCATTTGTGTATGCTTAACACACTTTATATCACTTTGAACAACTTCTGTTGATTACCATGGTTAACCTATGCCAAGGGCAACAAGGGGTATGGTCCACAAAGCAATCTCTCTTCTACAAAAGTAACGTAACTTTTAGATGAGCATGCCAGTATTGCTGCTTGCCTTTTCAGCTGAAGCAAAAGCATCTATCTAGGCTTGTTTATTCATATTAAATGACAAAGTTTGAAACGTTGGTTTCAAATTTTCAATGGGATGGTCTATTTGTTACATACTAATATTCAACTCATATTATAATTGCTCTGCAGCTTAGAGTATCCCTGTGCTAAAAATATAGTGCATATATACAGTACAGTCATTTGCCAGCCAGCAAACCATGACAACTATAGAAAACATCTGGTTAAAGCAGTCATGAGGGACCACTTCAAGAAATTTGGAGCAAATAACCAAGAATACGGAACAAAATACGCCATGTCTTGTGGCATTATAATTTGTCTTATGACAAAACTCGATGGATTAAAACTGAAAAGGCTGACTCTGGTTGCCAATCATGTGTTGAAAGCAGGTAAGGTAAGCAATTACTTGATCCAAAGGAGACTTACTGGCTTCTTCCTGCTCAACCAAAACAAAAAAGTCCGTACCTTTTGCATGGTCTGCTGGCAGACAGAGTCATCCCACTCACCCCCCAAGTATAAATATCAATAATGCCCACCAACCTACAAGATTAAAATGCGAAACAAGTAAGAGGTGCGCATGATAAACATGTCCAGAGGGCAGAATTTCGCCATCAAACACTTCTATATTAGCTGCGTCAGGTCTGTCCCGAGGCTCTGTATGGCAGCATGAGGATAGCCTTGCCAGGTAGCCTGGTGAGTTAGACACTCGAAAGGCTTAGATTTATCATTATTGAGCACCGCCATAAACCAAGAAAACGGTTAACCGAGTGTTTAAGACGGTAAAAACGGCGGTAAAAATAAGTTCCGTGCTTCAAAACTGTCTCCTTCATTCCCTCTGAACTGTTCATTCTTGGGTGTATACCAAACATGTGTGGGCGGCTGGCAAATTAATCCAATTTATGCATGACATACGTACAAGTTTGCAGTTGGAGCATCTTGCAGAGAAATTGGTCAACATTGCAAGCAAAAGATGGTACCTCTAAAGGCGATCGAAAAGGAAGGAAGAATAAAGTGGCATCACACTCATATGATACCAAGAAAAACAAAAGTAGCTAAATAAATATAAAGAGTGGTACTAACTGACAACATTTTGTAATCAGCCTGATATGACTTAAAATCTGTTGTTGAGACTAGTGCTCAAATAGTGATATTCATCTTGTAAATTTAATTTAGAAGACATTTCTTGAATTTTTCACTCCTGGGTTTCTAAAGTGATGCAATTTAGTGGGCAAATTTCCTCGGGAAAAAGGAAATATGTAGAGTAAAATTATCTACCACGCCTTGCTGGTGTTAGCACCAGGCTCTGCTTTCGTGGTGTGGTGGTGAGACCAAAAAAAGGGGGATGCATGAAAGTCTTCCATTTGACACAGAGCTGCAGATTGTGATGCATTTTGTAAACAAACCAAATTTAATGCGTGCAAGCGGCTTGAGTCGCTGGGGTTGTTGGGCTTGGAGGTACCTGGCACCCTTGCTTTGTGCATACATAGACGTGATTCAGATGTAGGTGAGGCAGGACGTAGCCATAGGTGTCCAGGTTCTGTGGAGCCTCGTTTATGCCTGGTGGTTTCAAGTGAGCTCGGTTTTGGATGACATCTGAAAACTTTAGAAAGGGAAATAGGGGTTTGGCATGTGCAATTAGACAATGTCAGGCAGGAGTGAAAAATTTGCCTAAAATATGGGGAAAAGGAGTGAAAAATTCCTTCTCATAGGGTGTTGCTTTACACCCAAAGTCGGCAATTCTAGGACACTGAATCAATTACGGCTGGCGTCGTGTGACCAATCAATGTTGACTGCTGATGTCGCTGGCAGTCTGACACTGGAAGCGAGTGAGCTGATTTGGGGACACAGCTTAAGAGAGCGCTAGGTGACACAGACGCATGGCATCAAACCAAGGAAGGGGTAACACAGCGGGGCGTTTACACCGGAGGAGGTCGAAGCCTAAAAAGCCGCAGCCTAAAACCTCCATTGTCCCAACTGAAGTCCAGCCAGCCGGCGACATAGTGCAAAGGACGCAGTGCAGTACTAGGCAAACACAACGAAAACAGGCATTGTCATAAGCGCTATAGATATATTGGAAAACACATGAAAATAGATCAACATCAAAATGTAATGGACACCTGGGAAAATCATGCATACTTGCATCATGCAATCATGCATACATGCATACAGGCCATCAGAGTCCATCCATTCGCTTCCAAAGAACCTCATAGGACCATCTCATAAGCACACCCTGAGTTGAGCCGTCACCATTTTAACCGTTGTTTTAACAAATGTGCGGACAGGCAAGCCGTGACCCAGGAAAAGAAACATCATGCAAATCAACCACAGCTCAGAAATTGTTACATAGGTGAACAGCAAAGGGATGTGCATTTGTATTCTCCCAAAAAAACGGCATCTTGGCTATCCTAAACAATAATGCCAGATTGGTAATCACCAGACCCACCACAAATCACCTATTGATTCAATGCTCCCCTTGTTTGCTCTTATAGCATCAAACTTCTATGGTTGGGGTCTGGCCCCTGACAAATGAAAACCATATGAACCCTCCACGAACACCCTGATCCACCTACTGCAGCACCTTCAGCTACAAGCCTGAGAGCTGCATCTGGTGACAGCCTGGTCCCGACAGCCATCCGCGTCACACGCACACACCAGCACAACTTGCAAGCAACAATCCCGGCGGAACGACGGAACCGAGAGCCGCTGATGCCACACTCACCTCTCAATAAAGAAGCGAACGACCAAGAAGAGGAATGCCATGGGTATGGGGTGGTAGAGGTCTTCAAAGTCGGCATATTTTACTGTCTCGTTGGACCGGATGTCCGCCCACGTCACATTCGGAGGCAGCCACACACTTGGGTTCCAGAACCAGTCAGAAAGATCCTGACTCATGGCGAACAGACTGAAACAAGCACACAACAGAAAATTATCAACAAAGGCCAAGAAAGCACCATAATCACAATGTGCTCTGGGACATAATGTTATTCTACTCATCTCTCCCAACAACATCCTTGCTCAAATGTATTGCACCCTAGCATAAAGCCTTACAAATTAGCTAACAGTTGTAAAAACAACACAGACCCTGTTTATGAAAAACCATGTGCAGCTCAACCAATCATCTGACAAAGTAAGGAAAAGGGGGAATGAATTGCTGGATTGCAGAATTACATAACTGAGATTGCAACCATCTTTTAAAACCACAGATGGATTTGCAATTTTGTGATAGAATGAATTTTATGCTTCAGGATGGGTAACACATTTATGTTGTAATTCCATCCAGAATGCAGTAGATGGAAGCTTTTTATATGGAAGATCATTCCATTACATAAATATCTGAGTCTCCAACATCCCATTTTGAACATTTGCCTGTCAGAGAGAGGAAGGGAATGTGACTGTTGTGGTGTTATGAGTTGTTGCTAGATTGGAAACTCACAATGGGAAGAATGCCACCACTTGTTATTTGCATGGACATATGCTCAAATATCAGGTGTATTGTCTGTATGCAACTCCAAATGTCAGGACCACATCAATGCATCATGCGGTGATGATGACTGCGGAGCTTTAGGACATGCTGATCTCAATGCATCAGCAATAGGGTGGGTGGGAAGACAAGGATTACAGTTTAAGCCAGACCCTTCATGAAAGGATGTTACCCATACTGCACTGTGCACCTACCAAACTGTACACCTTTGTAAAGAAAATGCACACCTGAAGACGGGCATAAGTCTGGATACCCTGTCAGAAAATATAGCATGTTGGGTGAGAAGGTAGCTTAAAGTGATCAACAATTGCATGCTGGTCTTATGTTCATGACTTTAAGATATTCTAAAATAGCAAGAAATGAAGAAAGCTAATAGCCATTGGACCAAAAAATAATGGAACAAGAGATTGATCCCAATGATGGTGTTCTGAACATTGGACCAAGCTAGTTTTAGCTTTGCTATGTCTTTGCAAAGCCAGTTTTCCTCCATTGACTAGAGGCTTATTTGGGTTTGACTGCATGCATGTTAAATGATTTGATATGGCTTTGGCTCTTGCTTTGAACCATTATAACAGCTAGTTGTGGATTTGGCTTCACAAATTTTATAATGATGTGCACAAATGACTTCTTGCTATCTATGTATCCTAGCTGCAGCTTTGTCATTGTCATAATTGTACTGCAGCCATGAAAAAGGGTAGGGCCACAAAAACTAGGGCAACCAGGGGACTGAGCCATCCAACCATTCTGAAGATAGAGCATGGACCCTATAGATATTGACTGGAAATAAACACCTATATATCATTGTTGCCCTCTTTCAATAAATTATAATGCTACCACAGAGTTAAGGTTTATACTCAGTCAGGTTAGCCCACATTAGGTGAGAAATCTGGTTTGATTTATGATAGCACAGTTCAAGCACAGTGGGCTTTTATGTGGATTGGCTGAACATGGTTATCAGTTAGTTGATATCAAAGTATCAATTAACTTTGATAACCATGTTATCAAAGTTACATTTGTAACCATTTTTCATGGAAGCACATGATTTTGTTTGTAGTCCAGTTTCACATTCCACACCTACTTTGACCATTGGCATCAATCTGACGTGCTGTGGCCAGCAATGGCAGAATCACCTGCCAGCTATTCAACATTTTTACTGCTCATGGTGGATGTGCATCCAGTGCTCCCATCTGACAATGTTTTGCAAAACTTATGATAAAAAGATTACACTTTTGCCTACTTGTATGTGTTTTTGTCATTTACTTGGTAGGTGTCCATATCATTTTTTAAGCTGAAGGATTGGCGATTGCAGACTGGCAAAAACTGCACATTACATACAGCATGCCCAGAGAAGCAGCAATATGGCTGTAACAATTCTAGTTGATTCAAGGTGTAAATCTGGTCATTCAGAAATAAGTGGTCTCCATCACATGCAGCTACGCAGAGAGTGCTGCTTCAAGGAGTTTGATATTGTTAAGGTGATTCAGGCAAAAATGGTCACAAAACACATGTTCAAGAACAACTAACATACAAAATCAGCACATGTTGAGCTGGTCTATGCTCAGCTGAAGTATGGGCCTGGTTGACTATAAATGTGGTGTAAGCACCAATTGCAGTGAGCAGATATTTGCAAACTTGGATGAATGCTGTCCACAAACAGAATAGTGGATGGATTCAGCATGCCAATTCACATTCACTGACAGTTCTGCATAGATGTGTGTGTGTGTGTGTGTGTGTGTGTGTGTGTGTGTGTGTGCGTGCGTGCGTGCGTGCGTGCGTGCGTGCGTGCGTGCGTGCGTGCGTGCGTGCGTGTGTGCGTGCGTGCGTCGTGCGTGCGTGCGTGCGTGCATGCGTGCATGTGCAGAATAGCTTGCTGAGTAGATTACATCAGCATCAGTTTCAAAACATTACAAATAATTGGCTATTACAGTTCCAGGCAACACAAGTTCAGTATGAAAAGGTGCACACAATGTGCACAAATACCTGTCTGCCAGGCTCAACATATCCGCCAAGCAGTCATACAGCAAACCATATTGAAGGTCAGGGTGTACTTTCCTACCTAACATTAGAAAAAATCATTGTACACCATTTGTCATGTTTAAGGCAGG